ACATTTTTCTTTAATTCGACTTACTTTTTAAAAACCGTGAATGAGCTGATTTAAGAAGGAAGCTTAATGTTATTACCATGAATGGAAAACCAGTATTATATTCCCTTAATAGAAGTGGCATAACAATGAATTCAAGCAACAATTCAAGGAACAATACCATGAGGAAGCAGCTCTAAGCCCAAGTCTGGTAGGGACAGGACAAAAGGAGGCTTTGCAAGCATTAGAAGGGTGTTACAAGACTTACTGGTCTCAGAGCCTTTCTCTTTAGTAGAAGTGGAAAGCTTTAAAGAACACTGAAAACTTCCTTCCTCTGGGGTCCCAGGTGGCAGATCTGGACCCAGCATCACCCGAGGGAGCTGTATGCATGAACAGCTAGGGTAGCCTTGGGTCAGGACATCCTTTACGTGCCACAGTAATGAGCCTGGAATTTACTCCTGCATTTTAAGCACTAGAGTGGCACAGTTATATCCCCTTACCACGTAACAAACGCTGCCCAGGCACCAAGCCCTGGGCTGTCAACTGATGCATCGAGTCCCTCATCCATTCATTACAGGGACTCACTGACCAGATTCCTCCTCTCAGATTTAGTTCACTCTCGGGGGGAGGAGACAGGAATAAGCAAAGAAAACCCCACTGTAAGTGTATATATACATTAAGGGCTGTAAGAGCTTTAGTTTTTAAAAAAATTAATAGATTATACAGAAAGCTCAAATGAAAGTTCAGTGAATCCCCATACATCTTCGCCTCCCCCCAGGACCTGCAGTTTGCCTTGCTGTAGCATCTTGCGTTCGTGTGGAACATGTGTTACAATTGATGAACCAGTACTGATGCACTATTGCTGAGGTTCGCTCTTGGTATCTACAGGTTTTGACAAAAACCTATAAAGACATGCGTCTACCATTACAGTGACATACAGAATAATATTAAAATACTAGTCCCACTAATATATAACATATAAATATATTATGCATAAATGTTATATAAAATACACTTTTATATATAATATGTAATATATATAAATAAATGTCTCGCTGCCCTAAAAATCCTCTGTGTTCTGCCTATTCATCCCTCCTTCTCAAACCCTTGAAAGCCACTGGTCTTTGTACTGTCTTCATAGTTTTGCCTTTCCACTATGTCTCATACTTGGAGTCACACAGCGTGTTGCATTTTCAGATCAGCTTCTTTCACTTAGCAATATGCACCCTCCGTGTTTTCTTGTGGCTCGATAGTTCATCCCATTTTAGCGCCGAGTAATATTCTGCTGGATGGGTGTGGCACAGTTCATCCATTCACCTAACAAAGGACATCTTGGTTGCTTCCAAGCTTTGGCAATTATGAAGAAAGCCGCTACAAACATTCGTGTGCAGGACATAAGTTTTCAGCTAAAAACTATGCATTAAAGTTATAATTTCATTATGTTGTTTTTATTACGTTTGATGGGATGGGCTGGCTCTTCTGGCCATGTAGTCAGGGAAAACTTCTCTGCGGAGATGAGGTTTAAAATAAGACCTGAAGGATGGGGAAGGAACAGCCAAAGAGCTGAGGGGCGCGCACCCCAGGCAGAGAGAAGAGCAAGAGCAAGGGCCCAGAGGTGGGAGCACTGCTGGCCTGGGGACCCTTGGAAGGTCAGAGGCTGGTGAGGACTGTGGGAGCTGAGAGCCAAGCAGTCCCTGAGGATACAGTGAGCATCTGTGATTTTGTTGCCAATGTTCCAGGAAGCCCATGTGGGGCCTTGGTGGGGAGTGAAGGGGCTGAGAATGGCGAGGTGTTTGTAGACAGAGTCTCAGAGACTTTCCAGCCTACCTGTTAGGTTGGTAAACCGTCTCCACCTTGCAGATAAGAAAACAGAGGCTTGGAGCAGGAGAAGGCTCTCATTCTCTATCTAACTTGACTTGGGGGGATGTTACAGCTTATAGTCCAGAAAGGGAGAGATGCAGAATCCAAAAGGAAGCCTCTAAATGTCTGAGTTGTGGCCTGAGCAGACGGCAAGGGCAAGAAACAGCTTCAGAATTCAATTAGGCAATAAGGAGATTAGCAAAGGAAGCCAGCTTTGACCTCCTGGGCAGGAGGAGGGCAAGCGGGGGAGTGTCAGGGGTAGTGGTGGGGGGAACTCTGGTCTCAGATCAGAAAGAAGAATTAGGTAATGGTATGGCCAGAATCTAATTGCACACAAGATTCCAACGTCTTTAAAGGAAATGGAGTCCCTTGTTGTCATAGCAACTGATTAAAAAAAAAAGGGCTCAGCACATCCATCAGCAGCAAGAGAGAATCACCCTGGCCACTGAGGTATCACATCAAAGCAAAATCTCTGGTCCAGAGGTGCATGTGTGCATCAGGATTCAGTTCACCCAAGACCCAAAGCCATCATGCCTTAAGCAAGATCAAAGTTTCTTTCTCATGAAAAAGTCAGAGGCGGGCAGCCCAGGGCTGCACTGATTTAGCTTTCACTGCATCAAAAAACCACCCGAAAACGTAGTGGCTGAAAACAATAATTTACACTTCATATTTTGCACATTGGAGAACTTCCCCTGTGGGTTTCTCCTGGGCTCCCTCTTAAAACTGCAGGCAGCTGGAGGGTGGCCTGGGCAGGAGGGTCCTGCATTGGCTCACTCCGTTGCCGGCAGCTAGTACTCCCAGCTGGAGACCCTCACCTTCTGGGAGGCTAGGCTGGCTTTCTCACATGGGACTGTCAGGCCTCAAAAGTCACCCGATGCCAATTTTGCCACATGGAGGTGGAAGCACAGTGCTGAGTTAATTCAGGGACACATCCAGATTCCAGGGAGGGAAACAGACTTCATCTCTTGAAGAGGGCAAAGTCACATTGCCAAGAAGCATTGGGATGGGAAGGATCTTCCCAAACACTCTCTGACAGGCTGAAGTGGATGCTCTATTCCATGAAGTTGTCAGAATCTCAGAATTCTAGCCCATCCCACCACCAGCCCTAGAGGGGGGCTATGGACCTCCAGATCCAAGCCAGTGACTAGAATCCAGCCATCCCACCTGTGTTAGGCTGTCCTTGCATTACTACAAAGAAATACTTGATACTGAGTAGTTTATAAAGAAAGAGGTTTAATTGGCTTATGGTTCTGTGGGCCATACAGGAAGCATAGTGCTGGCATCTGCTCAGCTTCTAGGGAGGCCTCAGGAAGCTTACAATCATGGTGGAAGGTGGAGGAGGAGCAGGCACATCACACGGCAAAAGTAGGAGCAAGAGAGAGTGAGAGATGGGGGTGGGGGAGGTGCCACACACTTTTAAACGACCAGATCTTGTATGAGCTCAGAGCTGGAGCTCACTCCCCACCAAGGGGATGGCCCAAGCCATTCACAAGGGATCCGCCCTTATGATCTAAACAACTTCCACCAGGCCCCATCTCCAACACTGGGGATCACAATTCAACATGAAATGTGGACAGAGACAAATACCCAGACTATATCAACCCCTATGGTCCAGGTGGCAAGATGGAGGAACGAATAAGAGAGAACGGACATGTGTGCCAGCTGTCTTTTCAGAAAGGCTTCTGGAAGTTGCCACATAACATTTCTGTTTATCTCACTGGCCAGATCTGAGTCACATGGCCACACTTAGATGCAAGGAGGCTGGGAAATGTCATCTTTATTCTAGGTGGCCAATTGGCCCAGTTAGAGTCTGGGGTTCTATGTCTAAGGAGGCAGGGGAGCATGGATATTGGGGATCCAGCAGTTTCTGCCACAATGTGGAACCTTTGGCCCTGAGGTAGTACAATGTACTGAAAGACGTCACCCCAATTATCTTAAAATGGAGAACTTTTCCATTACTGGGCAGATGTCTTTTAACCCCGCAAAGGTTTAGAAGTCCAACTCATATTATTGTGTAGTTGGTATTTAAAGTATTCATAACATAGAAGATTTTTTTTGCATATTAGAGTATGAAAAAATTAGCCTTGTGACTCCAATTTAAAATGTGTAATTGAGTTTAGACTTGTGATTCTTCCGTTGAGCACACGAATCTTTTTATACTAAATTTATAAATGACTCCAGAATGTATAAAAGATCTTGAGATTCACTGTTGTATAAGTTTTTAAATTAGATTTTCCAAAGTGGTTTAAGTACTTTGGAAAGTTTTGCTTGTCAGGTCAGGCAACGAAAGGGTTTAAAAAAGGAAATTGAATATGTTAAATTAGTAAGTCCTGTGTAAAGTGAAGATAATTTAATTAACCAAGTTTGCAAACGGGACGGATCGTTTAACCGAGTATGAGTTGCCTGACCATTAATCAAAAGCCCCTTGAAACTGATTGCATAGAAATCGAATAATAAGTTTTGAAAATTGAACTCAAAGGCTTAAGAATGACTAGGGCTTTTTATTTTTATTAAAGCTACTGTATTACATTGAATATTAAGTAATAAGTACTTGCAAGAAACCTTTTCTGCATCCAAAAAATCCCTTCCACATTGACATTTCTGAGTTCACTCAGGGGCTAAATTGGGGTTTGGGGGTAACCCCCAAAGTCCTTGCTTGTCTGCTCACTACGTGGTAACTGCCAGTCTGGGTAGGAAACATTAAGGGTATGGAATTGGCAAAATAAGGCACACAACTGGATTGGGAGAGAGAAAAAGTGTCAAGATGAACTTGGTGCAGTTTGGGCACAGGTGTGTATGCAGAGAGCACTAGCAGGGCTCGGGACCCCTGCACGACCTTTACCATATCATCTCATCATCTCGCTCATCTCAACTTCCCATTATCTCCACTGGAGATTTTCTTTTGGAGAAGGAGGTTCTAGCAGACTCTCATAAAAGAGTTGGCGCTGACACTGAGGAGCCCTGGGGAGCCCTGGAAGAGAGGGTGTCTCTGAGAACTATCTACGCTCTCTGCTTGAGGGACGGATCTTCAACATAACCACAACCCAAAAACAATCATTGCTGACATCTGGCATAGATGCTACGGGGAGCCACACCCAGGCCCCTGATTTTGGCTGTCAATACCCCCACTCCAAATCTGGAGGTGCAAAAAACCAGTCACTCACCTCGTGGTACTACAGTTCCCACTCCAGAGCTCCCCTGGGAGCAGGCTGAAGCTAGTCCACAGCTCAGACCACTTGCTGGCTTGGCAACACGTTGTGGAACGCTCTGCTGGCTGCCAGGGAAACTGGTGTGAGGGTCAGGCTCCCTCCCTCACCCTCAGCTTCCTCTCCTTCCTGAACAGCCGCTTCTGCAGGCCCTCAGTGTTTGTGAAGTGAATAAAACCTGACACACAGTAGGCCCTCAGTGCAGTACCATTGACTTCCCAGAGGTCCAGAGTTTTCACAGATCCCGGGAAGTCTCAAGGAACATCTTGTTCCTCGGTAGTGACCTTGCTCTAGCCTTCAGGGCTGCACCTGGACTTCATAGAGTCTTAACGGGGCAGGAGACCGCCCCCCTTCCCCGCCCCGCCCTCCCCTGTGGGCAGGTGCACGAAATTGATGCCTGCACAGGAGGTGGCGGCCCGAGGCAGGTGGACGGCAGCCGCCTGTCTCTGATCTGGGAGCGCCCCCTCGTGGCGAGATGAGCAATGCACGTTGAGGGAGGATGTCCCCACCGTCCAGGTGGTCTTAAAGGTTCAAACTCAAGGAGACAAAAAGAAAACGAGCATTTAAGAAGGGCGCTCCGGGGTCCATTTAATATAAATGGGCGGTCGTTAGCATTAAGATGAGAAGTTTTGAGCTTCCTATTAAAACAGGTTGTTCTACAGTGCGGTCTTTTCTCCTAGCCTGCAAATGATTAGGCAATTTCCTCACTGCAAATAAGGGGAAATACGTTTGCTTCTGCTCTCCTGGCAACCAGTGGGGAATCAGCTTGGGTCGTGGCGTTCAGAAACGTAAACCTCACTCGAGTAGAAAGCACTTTTGCTTTCTCCACCCATCCTATGTTTTCTCCATTTAAAATGAAAAACGAAGAGGAAAACAGGCCCGAAGTATTTTGCCTACCTAGCTCTGCCTGAAGCTCTGGGAGAAATTTTCAATAATGATGATGATGATAAAAGCAAAAATAGTAACCTATAAATGCTGAGGGCTCTCAACTAAGGTTGGAACGTCGGAGAGGAAGGGCTTCTCGTGAATCTAGACCTCTTTACAGAAAACGTTATGGCCGGACACGATGGCTCATGCCTGTAAGCCCAGCACTTTGGGAGGCTGAGGCGGGTAGATCAGGAGGTCAGAGTTCAAGACCAGCCTGGACAACGTGGTGAAACCCCGTCTCTACTAAAAATACAAAAATTAGCCGGGTGTGGTGGCAGGTGCCTGTAATCCCAGATACTCGGGAAGCTGAGGCAAGACAATTACTTGAACCCGGGAGACGGAGGTTGCAGTGAGCTGAGATCGCGCCATTGCACTCCAGCCTGGGCCACAGAGCAAGACTCTGTCTCTCGGGGAAAAGCAAAAACAAACAAACAAAAACCGTTATTTGTGGCACTCGCTGAAGGTGGTGAGGTCAACTGTATTCAAGGGGCCCTGGCGATAGTCGCTGCAGTCGGGTCTCACAGTGGGGAGAGAGGTGGGACTCAGTTCTGACCCCAACAGGGACAAGTGAGAATTTATAACCAAGGAGCAGGGCACGGGCTCATGGATGGAAAATTACTAAGAGGAAAGCTCAGGGATTTTCTGGCTAAACTAATGTGATAGGATTATTGCTGAAGGCAGGCCAAGCTGATCAGATATCCACAGTAGTCGGATACCAAGAGTGGGGATTTTTGCTAAACTGATTTAGTCGGATTCTTGCTCCAGCTGGAGTTGACAAGGACAGAGATGCTGCCTAGTCAAGTGGAGGACTCAGAGGAGACAGACTAACTAGTTTGTGTCGGAGGGAATCTTTGTCTCCTTTGACCAAACACAGGAGGTGCTATGGGTGAAATTCGGCTGCTCAGATGTGCAAATGAGGAAGTGTGCTTCGTGAGAGAAGATACATAGTGTGGGCTTTATAATTTGAAAAAAATCCAGAAGGGATTTCAGGTAGTACAAAGGAGTGGGGAGGACTGGAGTGAACAAACATTGTTGAGCCCTTACTGTTGCCATGTGGCTCTTTATTGCATCAGAGGCATGGAACAGAAGTGACTCCATCTTGAATAGGAGCTGGGTAGAATAAGGTTGTGACCTACTGGGCTGCACTCCCAGGAGGTCAGACAATCTTAGTCACAGGATGAGATAGGAGGTTGACGGGATTAGTATCACAAGATACAGGTCACAAAGACCCTGCTGATAAAACAGGATGCAGTAAAAGAGCTGGCCAAAATCCACCAAAACCAAGATGGTGATGAAAGTGACCTCTGGTCGTCCTCACTGCTCATTGTACGCTAATTATAATACATTAACACGGGAAAAGACACTCCCACCAGTGCGGTGACCATGTCATGGCAACATCAAGAAGTTGCCCTATATGGTCTAAAGCAGTTGCCCTATATGAGTTCTGGAAATTGCCCACCCCTTTCCCGGAACACTCATGAATAATCCACCCCATGTTTAGCCTGTCATCAAGAAATAACTATGCACAGCCCACGCCACTGCTCGACTTACGCTTTACTTTCCTTTATAAACTTTACTTACTTTATAAACTTCCTCTGGATTCTTTCTTGCGTGAGGTCCAAGAATCCCCTCTTGGGGTCTGAATCAGGACCCCTTTCTGGTCACAATTACATCTTTACCATAGCCTTGACAGAAAAAAGGCAATTATGCCATTTTACAGATAGAGAAACAGAAGCTCCGAGAAGAAAGGGGCTGAGCTCAAAGTGACATCATTGGATTAGAAAACAATCTCCTAATATCAACCTGAGTGTTTGCCACAGCACTGGGTCCACTGGTCTACCAACATTCATTCATACATTTATTTATTCATCAAATGTTGATTGAATATCTACCATGCACAAGACAGAGTTATAAGCCCTGGGGATACAGCCATGTCCACAATGGGCTGAAGAAATTAGGGCTACAAATATTGTCAGGCAGGAAAGCTCAGGTTACCAATGATATTTCTTTACTAACTAGTTTTGTTTATCAGCTCATTTACCAATCTATTTATTTTTTCTTTTATTTTATGCAAAGAGTTTACTGACTTATTTAATTATTCATTCATTCTCTCAGTCACTTATTTTCTTATTTACTTATTCATCCATCCATTCAAACATCAATTCGCTTGCTCATTCATTCTTTCGATCATTTATTTATTTATTTGCCTGCTCATTATTTGCTCACTCTCCTACTCTGCCAGTCGTTTACTCATTCCTTCACTAATTCATACGCTCATGTGTCTGTAAATCTCTCCATCCATCCATCCATTCATCCATCCATCCATCTTCCTTCCTTCCTCCTCTCCATCCATCAATCCCTCATAAATCCATCCCTTCCTTTGTCCATCCATATCTCCCTTTCTTTCCTTCCTTCTATTTCTCCCTCCCTCCTTTTCTCCCTCCCTTCCTTCTTTCTCTCTTTCCATCTATTGGTTCCTCCAATCACTCCTCCATTAGTCCCTCCCTTCTTCCCTCCATCCATCCCTCCATCTGCCTCTCCATTCTATCAGGCCTCATGTAGATCCTGAAAATTAACAAATGATACAACCCAATTCCAACCTCCAAGGCACTCACCATCTAGTAGTGGTGAGTGACAAGAAGAAAGGCCACCACATCACTGTGATTAGAAATGTGACCAAGGGCTAGGGGAGGGTAGCACAGAGGAACTCTAAGTCACCTGAGGGCTGGGAAATCCAGGATGAGTCCTAAAGGAAGAGTGAGCCAAATTGAGCAGGATGGAGGCAGTAGGGGTTTCAGGCAGAGGAAATCACACATATGCGTGCTTGAAGGCAGAGTGAGTACAGTGTGATCGGGACGGGCAAGTGTGGCTGGAGCTCAGGAAGGGCAGGGAGGCAGTGGAGAGAGCACACCTATTACTCTCCAAGGCATTGCTTCCTGAGACTCTTGGCTTTGTGTATTGTGAGGATGGCCACATTTGCCGCTCTGGCTACCCCAGTCCCCGTCTGGCCTCCATCAGCTCTGAGAGGTCAGCCCCATAGGATTGCAAGAAATCCAGGCTACTCATAGTGTCCTTGGTAACTGGGCCCACCTCTCCCCATCACTGTCAGAGCCAATAGTAAAGAGAAGAGAACACTGCCCCTCGCCCCACCCCCCACCCTGCCCCGGTCTCCCCTTCATCTGTGGTGATACAAGAGAACACTGTCCCCCCTTCTCCCCTTCGTCTGTGGTAATACCCTGGGCTGTGGTGCCCCTGCAGAAGTATCTTCTAGATCAGCTCCAGCACAGCCCTCCCCAAATTTCATGCCTCCTCCATGTCTGATAGGTCTCCAGGCCCAGCCCCTTTCACCTCTTCATCACCTCCTCGTCACTCAGACAGACATTTGCCTCACTCTGGCATCATTATGCCAGCCTCTCTCTAGCAGCCCTGTCTCTCACCTCTCTGCCTCTAGTGGCTTCCTCCAGCTCTCACATGCCCATTACTCTGCCTCCAGAGTAGCCTTTCTGAAGCTCCAATATCCTCATGCCATTCACCTGCATACAATCCCTCAAAGACACCTTGTTCCAGGTCAGGGGGTCAAGTCCAAACTCCCTCCCCGGCCAGGCATTCAGGTTTTTAATCAACCGGCACATGCTATTTCTCCAGGCTTGCCTGGCTCTTACCTCCTCACGTGCACCATCCATGCAGACCAGAGCCCAAGACATTCTCAACACATCCCACTTCTACTCACCTTTGCCACCTTGTAACTGCTGGATCTTTGCCTGCGGTGGCCTTCCCTGGCTTGTACCCCCGGAAGACTCCTGCTCATCCTTCAAAACCTGGCTGGGTGCATCCATCAGACCTTGTAAGGATTGCTATATTACCAGTCATCATAATTTATTGCATGTCTGTCTGTCTTCCTTTGCTGGACCCTGAGCCCCCGGGAGGTACAAGCCTTTTCACAGTCTTCACTGCTTTCTCAGTGTCTAAAATAGTGCCTGACCCATAGAAGGTATTCACTCAATAATTAACACTCTATGAACAGATGAATGAATGAACAAAATATCTCTATGATGTCTGGGTTTAGATTAGACCAATAACCCTTCCTGGGTCCTCTGAGATTGTGTGTCCAGCCTGGCCACTTATCCTGCCATGGGAGAAGCTCTGCAGACATTGGACAAAGGCTCACATGACATCAAGTGGGGAAAACAATCTGGTTGCTTGGCATTTAGGGCTGGTTTCCAAGGGTTTGTCTTCACAGGGAGATCCTCTCTCTAATGCTGGCTGGCAGATCACCATTCTGAGGGTGAGATGGGCCACCAGAGGTTACCCAGCTGCTAGGGTTACGGTAGTCAGGTGAACTGTGGAATCAGAGCCAATGATCTGGGGGAGAAGGTGGTGGTGGACGAAGACTCATTCAGAGGTGCTAGCAGCTGCTTTCCGAGGTTAACCCAGTGCTTCTCTGCATTGACATTACCATAGCGCATGCTGGGAAGTCTATACTCTCTGCTCCTGGCACAAAGGTCCTGCCTTCCATTTGGGCCCCCAGAGAAGGGACTACATGTCCAAGAGGCAGCAAAATGAGATGCTAGAGCACAGCTGCAGGGGCTGCCCACCCCCACCTCTGTCTAGGAGGTGGCCTCACAAGTTCCAGTCTGAGAATTTCTGCCTCTTTAATTAGAGTGTTTAGACCGTTTACATTTAATGTGATAACTGACATGACTGGGTTTAAATCCATCCACCATGTTGCTATTTGTTTTCTGTTTGTTCCATTTGTTATTTGTTCCTTTTCTGTTCTACT